GGCATTATGCTAAATGAAATAAGTCAGAGAAAGACAAATACTGTATGGTATCACTTACACATAGAATCTAAAAAAACCTAACATATTAACAGAGAGTAGAACACTGGTTACCAGGAGCTGTGCTGTGGGGGAAATGGAGAGCTATTGGTCAAAGGGTACAAACCTCCAGGAATGAGATGACTAAGTTTGGGGATCCAATGTACAGCATGGTGAATAAAGTAACAAGACAGTATGATATACTTGAAAGTTGCTGGGAGAGTAGATCTTAAATGTTCTCACCACGCACAAAAAAATGGCAATTATCAAAGGTGATGATGTGTTAACTAACCTTATTATGGCAATCATTTCACAATGTACTATATCAAATCATCACATTGTGCACCTTATATTTGCGCAATATTAAATGTCAATTATATCTCAATAAAGCTGGGGGAAATTTAACTAATTAAGACAAATAATAACAACACCACTAATTTAGTTATACCTAAATTTTACAGAGCATTTCCAAATAATTTCTAATGTGGCCCTCATTCCTTGCTTCATCAGATGAATAAGCAAACATAGCATTATCCCCATTGTATGGATTAGAAAACTGAAATACAAATGAACTAGGTGATTTTCTTTGGTAAAGGCAACTAATAGTAAGAGAAGCAGGATCATAATCAAGGACTCTGACTCCCAGAATCACATATAATTTATGGTGACTGCTTTGGTACAGAAACGTACCTAGTCTACAAATTCAGGGTTTTTCATCATAATTTCCTAAAGGACACATCTTCCAAGCTTCAAGCAATAGTACAAAAGGAGGGGATATGTATTGAGGAAGAAAAATATATTTTAAGAAACAAATAGGGTAGACACCCTTCCATACATCCTGAATACTATAGAAATTCATGTTTCCTCGCTAATTCATATTATCCAGAGAATGTACATCTTTAAAGTGTTCTGTGGTTTAAAACATATGTCAGTTAGAGAAAAAACTATTGGTCTTGATATGTTTCTGCTGTAAAACATATAAAATTCTATCGTTAGTGTAGAAGTGATCTGTAGAGTGTGCCTTTACTGGGAAGTCAGTGAAATACCATTTACCTTTTAGTGAAAAGTGGTGAGATAGATAAACAAAGCAACTTCGGAGCCTTTGTAGAGGGATGCTGGCTTTGTAGATCCCTTCAGGTGAATGTGATTTATTAACCAGTAAAGTGCATTAGATACTTTAGGAATCAACACTCTGTAAAGACATTTCAAAATGTCTCCCAAGCAGTTGAAATTGTAGATCACAAGATTCCTTAGCTTTACTCAGCAAATCCTCTTTGGAATAAAGGGAAAGCAAATACTTCCAACAATCTACTACGATGGAGAGAGAGAGAAAGAAACTCAGACAGTAACATCAAAGCTTTGTGAAACTGAACCACGGCCATTGAAAGTTATCCCACAGGATGTCGTCTGTGCACGCACCTCTCTTCCACATCACACTGCTTTTCTGTGACAACAGAAATGCTACCCTGGCCCTTTCCATCCTGACAATGCTGTTTCACTCAATTATGTGTGATCCACTTGGCAGGCAACATTTTTACTCTCAATTTAATTCCAAGTCTCCAAATTTAACAAGAAAGTCACCAAAACAATAATTGTGCTACATTATTTGTAATTGGTTTGTGTATTTCATATAAAATGCTACTTAATAATTGTGATGGATCATAAGAGATTATGTGGACTATCTCCAGGGATAGCTAAACTACGCATATCACCAATGACTTGTTTTCTTCTTGAATCTTTCCAGGGAGACGGTACATAGAATCCTTAGCCAAATACTAGTAATAATAATTACCATTTATGGACCAGATATAGGGGACATACACAGCAGTAGGCACTGAATTGGATGTTTTACTTTGGTCTCAAACTCATAACAATCCTGCAAGGACAGATATCCCCATGTTGCAGTTAAGAAAGCTGAGGAGCAAAAATCCAAGGCTATAGAGAAAGTAAATGGCAGATCAGAATTCCAACCAGGACTACATGCTTCCAAACTCTTGCCGTTCAGCCAGTCTTCCCTCTGTTTACTTCATCCAATAACCCTACAATCTCTAAGTATCAGTTACAAAGGCCCCATATTACCATGCCCTTGGAATTTTTTAATCTTCCCCTCCTAGAATTACGAGTTACCTATGCACCGGTTACGTTATCTTTCTCCACTAGCTATGCCACACATTTTGCCTAGACAGGTGATTTATCTATTCATTCAACAAACGTTTATTCTACGTCTATTGTGGGACCATCTCTGTTTGATCAGCAATATGGCAAATCACTAATTCCATCCAGATTCAGGTGACTTTACTATAAACAACATAAATGGCTATACAGTTGCAGCTTCAGAAAGGAAAAGAATCAGCCAAGTGTACATTAAGTTAATTTCAGAGTCTTACTTGTTGCAACCAACCTCCCCAAACACGGAGATCTCCCTTCTCACCTGCTACGTATGGAGTTAAGCAGACACACTTGTCTTCTTCTGGCAGTTTTGTTTATAGCCCCTCTCTCCAGATCCACAACATTCTCCTAAGTGTTGTCTTAATCATATTCCCCCAATACCTCCTCTTCCCATTCTTAGTAAAATAGCTTCTAGAGAAGAGTATTTGAATATAAATATGGAGTTCTAACTTGTATTACTAATTCCTCATAACTACAGAGTTGAGAATGATCATTTAGCCTTTGGACTCTATTTGTCAAAGTCCCTTTCCCAGGAATAATAACTCTTGATCAAGGTTAAATGGAAGTTATATAACTGGTCCTGTGCCATGAAGCTCTTGACCTACAGGGGTATGAATGGAGACAAACAGGGACAGTGATGGACAAGCAAGTTGGCACTAAGTATAGAGGGGCTTTACGGATCAGCTGGGAGGGGTTGGCTAATTTTTTTCCTACAAGAATGTCTTTTGAGAAGCTTTGCTTTTTTAAAAAGGAAGGGAATTCTAGTAGTTATTTGGGGCAGGGACAGTTCAGGGGAAAGAATGAAGACAGAGGCCACTTAGGACGCTACTGTAATAATCTCAGGAATCAGTGACAAGGGCTGACCTAAAGCAATGGGGATGGCAATTCAAAGGAACGGAGAAATTGGAGACATTCCAGAGAAACAATCAACAAGATTCCACTCATTCATTCATTCACACATTCTTCTCACAGACACTTATCAAGAACTACCACATACCAGGCACTGTGCTGGGGGCTGGAGACACAATGTCCACAGAGGTAGCTATTGTCCCTAATCTCACAAAATGCAGATTCCAGTAAGGGAGTAAATAAGCACACAAGCACATAAACAAAAGATTTACAAATTGTGACGAAAACAAGCAAGATACTGAAAGAAGAACCCCAGGGAGGGGCGATGAGTCGGTCAGGACAACAGATGGGTTGCGGAGAGACGACAAAGAATGGAGCCCAAAATCCCTCTGAGGACTCAAGCTTGGGTGACTGCAAATGGAGGCATCACTAATAGAAATAAGGATGAGCTGGTTTGCCGGAAGGCACAGCAAAGAGCGCTTTAACCTCAGATGCATCAAGCTGGAGACACTTAAGTCGTAGAAATGTTCAGCAATTAGAAATGTTGGTCTGAGTTTAAAGAAAAGTCTGGGAGCTGAGGATGCAAATCTGGGTATCAAACAATAGTTAAAGACTTGGATTAGATTTCTCCATCAAGCAGAAAAGTGGAAAGGGAGAAAAAGTCCATGAATAGAACCTTAAGGAATATGCACTCTTGTGGAATAAGAAAGAGCAGAAGAAGCCAGTGAAAGAGATGAAGAAGCCACAGAATGAGGAAGAGAAGATAACTGAGATGGTTCTCTCACCTACTGAAAGAAAGGATATCAACAAAGAACATCACCAGTTGTAAATTTCTACTAAGAGTTCTAGGGCAATGAGATAAAATTATTTGGGATTTGATCCTAGAAGGCTATTGGGGACTATTAAGGAAGCATTTTCGTGAAATTGGGGGTGGGCTCAGTTCACAGGTGGGAAATAGGGTAACCCAAATCCTGGATTTTCTGGAACACTCCCAATTTCAATTTATTCTCTCTCATTACACACCGCATGTGTTGATTTTCCATTTGAAACTATGGAAACAGTGTGGTGAAGAGACAGAAGCAATGCAGTTGGATCTTTCGAGATGCCTGTCAATGAAAGGAAAGTGAGCAGTAAGTCCTTAAAATTGGAAGGAGAATCAAGAGAAGGTGTTTTAGGAGTGGGGAGTCCTCAACACGTTTGTAAGCAGTGGGAAAGTGAGTAACTAGTGAAACAGGAAATCAAAGATTCGGCAAACAAAAAGGGAATTATTGACAGCACTAAGTTTCAGGGGAATGCTCAAGTTGGGATGAATAGCACAAATGGATGGAAAATGGTGATGTACTTCTTTCACATAGTAGTAGGTAAAGGGTAAAGATGTGAGGTGACATGTGTAACTAACTCCACGGGGGAATCCTTTCACAGAGCATGCGCATATCAAATCAATACGTTGTGCACTTTAAATATCTTACAATTTTATTTGCCAATTATACCTCAGTAAAGCTGGGGTGGAAGAATCGATAAAGGTGGAGACATTTTCAAGAAGAAAGAGTAAAATGGAGAGGGGGTAAGATGCTAGGATATGAGGTCACTAAAGTATAAGCTCCTGGGGATCAGGATGATTGGATCGTTCTGTTTGACTGGCTTTCAACAAATATCAGCAAAATCGATTCTGTGCCCGCAGTCCAACCAGGTAAATGAGGAAGCGTCTCCATCTCACAAAGGCAAGGACCTGGCAGGAGCTTAAAGAGGGATTTGGAAAAGTTCTGTAGAGTGACACTGAGTCCCAATGAGATGGACAGAATCATCGCTGCTCATTCACAAGGGCTCCCCTGCCCCTCGCCCCCACCACCCCCAGCCTCGCCCCAAGGCTACAGCAATGCTCTGCTCTTCACCTCCTCCAGCTCTTTAGCTTTCGCAGTAAGGCCTTCCCGGGACAGTCCACCTACCACGGCCCCTCCTTCTCCAGCCATCTCTACCCCTCTTCCTGCCCCAACTTCATTCTTCTCCTTAGGGCTTAGGCTCTCCGCTGTGCTGTATATTTGACTTTGCTGTCTTGTTTATGATCCATGCCCCTCCAGAAATGGGAGCTTGGGCAGGGATTTTTGTCTGTGTGTTCTCTTCTCCCTCTCCGGTGCCTAGAACAAGGCACGGTGAATGAATGAATGACTGCCTCCGTGTGAGATAGAGTCATCAAAGTTAAGTGACTTTCTTCAACAACAGGGAGTTATTTGGGGGGTGAAAATAGATGATGGAAGTGTTCCAAAGTGAATAGCAGCAGAAACTCAAGGGAAAGAAGAGTTCTAGAATGCTAACAGCTAGTGCACAGTGAGGTAATTGGGGTCAGTGCGATGAAACAATGAAGCACAGGGCAATTACCATCATGCCAAGAGTAGCTACCAGTGCCGCCCCCTCTTCAGATGGTTGTGGAGCGGGGAGAGGCGAGGGGTATTAAGTGTACAATCCATGTAAAAAACAACATTGCTTGGCACACAGTTACGTGATAGGTAATTGTTAGCTGGTGCGATTTGAATACTTTTCACGTTGCTCTAGTCCAGAGCCACTGAGGGCAAGTCCATCTCCTAAGTCTGTATCACACTGCCATCTGATCAGAGGAAGAGCCTTCAGATGGGAGAAGAATCCTCATCTCACTAACGAGCAAGTCGCAAGCACAGAACATGCTTCTGTCTGGAAAATCTGGATTTGCCAGGCTTGACCAGATATAACTAAGTCACCCCCATCTCACCTCTGCTGAGCCACACCATCCTGGCCCACACGCGCATGCGCACACACAGACAGACAGACACACACACACACACACACACACACACACACACTTTTCTGGATCATCCATATTTATCCACAACTTTGAAATTATGTGACTAAACCTACATGGATTCACACCCTAACACAGGCCTGACACTGGCAGAGCGTGATGGAAGGAACTCTGCTGTGCCCCTTCATACCATCCACTGCCGACAGTCAGATAATGGCCAACTCCAGCCCCAAGGATGTGTTCATCCACTTAACCTTTCTCCGTGTCACGTCTGTATTATTGAATTATTGGTCTATAATTGAAAGCATGTTCTTTTGCCCCGGTAGATAACCTCACTCGGGGTGGGGGTAGAAATAGAATCATCTTTCCAAGTTGAAGGTCACTTTTAAGTACCAAGCTAACAATTGATCTCGATGTGAGTTGGATTCAAATACAGTGCATATATCATCATCATCATAATCATCCTCTGAATTGTTCGAGTGAATGAAGGGGAGAGAGCTACAGATGGGAAAGCTGGGCATCAACAAAGCCAGGTCATTAGCCCAAGGTCACATAACTTGTGCATGGTGAGACCCAAATTACTCTGACACCAAAGGCAACATCACCTCCCAGGTGTAAGATAGGGGACTTCAGCGTTGTCCATTTCTGAATGCTGAGAAAGGCATCATGGCATACCAGGCTCTCAGAAAGGGATTGTACACTTTTCCTGCAAAAATCTAAAAGAAATCCTTTTCTGAGTCCATAAACAATATCTAATATCCTTCAACACTCTGCATTCAAATTTTGAAATGTCTTATTTGTTAGTTAAAAGAAAACATATTTCTGCACCAGATTTTTCTGGCCAGGAGTTAATTAAATCCCCTTTGGTTAAGAACTATGTTTTCAGCAAATTTTTAAGAAAAAATACTAATTGTCATGAAGCAGTTTAAATTTGCTTTCGTACATATTTTCAAGTTGTGCATATGTGATGTGAGTTTGAACAGAAGCTATCACATGGTTGTTAGACAATATTCCCTTTCACACATACCCACATGCGTGCGCGCACACACATGCACACCCACAGCCATGTTTCTTCGCTCCCCAGATGTGACAAATCTTGATCTACACAAATGACACCAAGTAGGAAAAGAGAAGGACATCTTGACATAGAAACTGCCTTCTGTCCTATCTGAGAACTTCATCATGAAATGTAAAACTTGTCATTTATTAGCCATTTTTAACGTGCAGGATGTTATAAAAATGCAAAATATGGTCTTCTCCAAAAAAGAGAACAAATAGTAAACAGAAATAAAGATATGTAGGAAGAGATAGGTACATTTCCATCCATGCAATTTTTCTTTAATCTCCCGGGTAACAGTTTTATGAACTATTTCTGGGGGTGGGATTCCTCCCTATAGTAGTTGTCTGTTACTGCATAACACATTACCCCCAAACTTGGTGACATAAACAACAAACATTTATTAGCTCAGTTTTGAGGGTCAGGAATTCGGAAGTGCCTTAGCTGCGTGGTTTTCACTCAAGGTCTCTCATGAAGTTGCAAACAAGATGCAGGCGGGGCCGCTGGCGGAGGCCGGTGGTGGCTGATGGCTTGACTGGAGCTGAGGATCCACTTCTAAGCTCAGTCGCGTGGTTGCTGGCAGGAGCCTCAGTTCTTCTCTGATTCTTGGCCAGAACAACAGTTCCTTGCCACCTGGGCGCCTCCACAGGGCTGCTTGAGTAGCCTCAGAACATGTCAGGTGGCTTCCTGCAGGGTGAGTAAACAGAGAGAGAACAGGAAAGACCCTCAACGTCTTCTACGGTGCTGACTCAGAAGTCACACTGGTCAGTTCTGCCACAGTCCATTCATTAGAGGTGAGTCACCAAGGACAGCCCAGACTCAAGGGGAGAGTAACCAGGTTCCACATTTTAAAGGGAGGAGTATCAAATAATTTGTGGGTACCTTTTTAAACCACCACAGCCCTAACACCACATTTTTCTGCCCCTCCCCCAGTCCTTTCCCAGACCCCTGGGAACACGGAACTTCCAGGGCCAGCATTAACCATCACCTATGAACGCATTTATTTCAGTATCCACCACGTGTCAGGTACCATTCTTCACACGTAAACAAATGAAACCAAAAATGTCCCTGCCCTTATTCAACTAGTGGAAGGACTGACTGCACACAGATGGGTATGTAACATGGAGGTGATAAACGCCTTGTTAAAGAGATAAGCAGAAAACAGGCTAAGGAGTTAGAAAGTTATGAGTAATTAAATAGTCCAAATATACTACAGATCAACATATCATGCATTTAGTGGATACACTGCTTCTCAGCCTTGAGAATTCAAGTGACCTCAGTGGGCAAAAATCGTTCTCTTTGTCCTTAACCACACGCTCTTTCCTTTTCCCTAACATTCACACAAGACTTGCTTCTGTGTTCTTCCTCTCAGCTTTGCCAGGACTCCACTGTATACGCCAAGTCTTAAAACACAGCCAGAAATTCTCTCTGAACCCTCCTTCAAACAGCCATTTCTTCTTTCTTCTGTTGCTGGCCCCTCTCCATGAAGACTTGGCCCGCAATGCCTCCCCTTCTGGGAATCTGCAGGCTCTCCTGGAACTCTGTCTGCCCTCCGCCTGAGGCCCATCAATAACAAGTCCTCTCCACTACCAGGAACTCGGAAACCGTTCTGTCTGTTGGTGGTTGCCATCTGGGCTCATTGTCTCACTACTGCCTTATCTATCTTGGCTCAGGAACCACCCCCTCATCACTGGGTCCTGCAAGTTTCCACTACCCAGTCAGGAAGCCGGCACCCTTCTGAATGATGTGTGACGAGGACCTACGAACCTCCCTAAACACCAAATAACACAAAGGATCTTTATGTCACAAGACTTTGTGGCGTCTTATCCCCTATTACAGGTACTTAGCACCATTTGCACTTCTAACAACTCTTGTATTTGGTCAACTATGAGCTTAGGAAAGACTCAGATTAGGAGAAGACTAATTACTTGTAATTATAGATTTTAAATATTGGGCTACAATTGAAAATTTGATTTAAAAAAAAAAGTTGGTTTCCTAAAAAGCCGGGAGCCTCTTGCCTATGCTTTATTTATTCTGTTATTTCGTTTCCCCTCTCCATCTGTGCCCTAGATGTTTATTTCCATGTACTTGCACCCAAGAGGTGGGAGGCTGATGCAGTATATTTAGAAAACCAACTGGGTCTCTCTTTCATCTGCCGTAGTATTCCGGACAGAAATAAATGCTGGCATATCTCGTAAGCCTTCTTGGCTACCTTCTGTTCACAGTGGCTATGCCTGAGGAATATGGAAATTGGAAGTTTCCACCAATAGTGGACAACAGAACTGAATTACAGAGTTCCAAATTTTCTGAATGGCACTGGGTTGCCCTTCGCCGCTTGCCTTTTCCTACTCTGGCCTGAATCTGCCATACTAACGTCTTTCCGTGAAAGTTCTCAGCACGCCATCTTGTGGTCTAAAGAAAGGAGGCTGTGTTCTCTTGAGTCTTCATCAGTTCTTCCTTTTGGCATTTCATTCTCTCATTAAGTGTCTCCTAATCTTATAACCTGTTGTACTAGACGAGTTATAAAGGCTATTATTTTGCTTAAAATAACACAGTATCCAGCAGGTGATAGACATAAATTATTCTAGTTTAATACATTCTAGTTTAACCACTGACTAGAGGAAATGTAGTAATGGGATCACCACAGGGCTCCCCAAACACCTCCACGACCCGGAGCTCCGCACACACCTTCACAACCACACCCACCCACAGACGTGCGCACGGAGGGAAATTCAAGGATGGTTCCGTCAAGGGTCAACCTTTTGGGAGTACATCTTAGTCAGCTCGGGCTGCTATAAAAAATTACCATAGACCAGGAGTTCAAACAACAAAACTTTATTTCTCAAAGTCCTAGAGGCCGGGAAATCTGAGATCAAGGTGCCCGCATGGTGGGGCTCTGATGAACGCCCTCTTCCTGCTTTGCAAGTGGCTGCCTTCCTGCTGTGTCCTCAGGAATCAAGCTCTCTAATGGGGGCTCCACTCTCATGACCTAATCACCTCCCAAAGGCCCAACCTGCTAATACCATCACCCTGGGGATTAGGGTTTCAACATACGAATTGGGGGGGGGGACGCAAACATTCAGTCCATAGCAGGTACTAAAATAGCACTGGAAAAAACTGAAAACATTTTACCAATTATCTCATTTCCCCATATAACTCCTTATATAATTCAATGGAAATTGGCCTCAATCCTGCCAAAAGAGTGACATGAAGTGAATTTTTTATAAATTTAAAAAAAAAACACACACACACTTCTCATCAGTACCAACTGACCTGTACTGATATTGAGTGTTTTCCCAGCACACGTGTACAAGATTCAAGCACAACCAAAGCCACCCCAGGGACCCTGAACCCGGGAGCTACTGGTCACTGCCGGCCAGGGCTCTCGATCTCCTGAAACTCTGGTGAGGCGCTGATGGCATAGTGCAGCTTCCTGGAAACACATCACTCGTTTCATTATCCAAATTTTAAACATTTTAATATGTCTCCCAATACATTGTCTTATATGAAAAATTACA